ATCTTGAAGAACCCCACATAGAAGAGGGCTTTCCTTTTCTTTCTCCTCTCTCCTGTCTTATGCACATGCTCAGAAGTCTAACTCCTGGGCAAGGTGACTGGCAGCAAAGAGGCAAAAAGAGAGCAACAGACTACTCCAGATGAGCTCCCTGTGCAATGCTCTGGCTAATGACTGATGTATAAATAAGCTGTCATGATTTACCCTTTTTGTGCAACCTTGGTGAGAACTTATGCAAGTCTGGTGATGACAGTTTAAAAATGAGTTAACAACATTAGAAGAGGGTGCAGGAATAATTCAGAGGAGAGCTAGGACATGTGTATTGAGAAAGGAAAAATCAGTTAACCAAAAAAGCAGATTAGGAGATGTTTCAGTTACTGGTTAGTAGAACCATGGAAAAATTGGTTGGTAAAATGTTATTGAATCTACCAGATAAAAGCATAACAGGAACTGACATTTTGAAGCTCAAGCTGAACAAATTCAAATAAAAAAAAGAGAGCATGTATTTCTTAACAATTATTATAGTGTTAACCTTCAAAAAAGGCTCCCAAGAGAACTGATAAGTTATCTACTCTGGATGGCTTTCTGGAAGGTTAATTTTTAATCAAGCCCAAATAATTTGCCTTGGTACAGGTGTAAATATAAAGGCCTGTGATATATGCAGACCCTGAAGTTCTTCATAACAGTAACATACATGAATTAAGACATTGCATGAATCTGTGATTATGCTACAGATTCATGGAACTAACAAGTGAATAACTGAGACAGGAACAACAGCAGTCATGTAACTGCTGGATGGGACCTCTAACCAGCCGTAACCAACCTGGCCCTGTTCCTCTCTGTGTCTTTTACATTAGAATGTCCTGGGGAGAAAAACATCCAGGAGACACTATCCAGATGTAGGCCATGGCTGCTAGACCTCACAGACATGTTCCTTTTTAGACACTTTCCTATTGTTTCCCCAAGCTGTAAAGGGCTCTTCAACCTAAAGGGAGAGAGATGTCATCCTGCCCTCGGGATAGTACGTAGCATAGGAATATAGATACACTCTTAAGATACAGAAGCTAAAAGTCTAACTCCTGGGTTTAGACAAAGCTTCACATCAAGTATCTGATTCCCTGAATGACTGTGCAGACCGGTAAGTAATTATGTATAAGTGGATATTGCTATCAGCAGTTGTATTTGTTAATGAAGTGGTGGTTTCCAGTTTGAGATGAAAGTACTTGCATCTATGATCCCATTACAGTCAGGGTAGATCTAATCAGTGCAGTCTCACTGGAGCTGAGAGAGATACTCATCTAACCAGCCATTAGGGCTGCAATTCAGTTGCCCACACAAAGCCATCTGGGGTCCTCAGAGCAGCTGAAATGTCTGCAGAAAGGTGGCAGAAATGACATATGAGTTACAGAAGATCATCATCTCCTGGAGTGGTAGCTACAGGATACCCTACAGCAACCAAAATAAAACTAGACATCTACACCTGGGTAGCTCAGTCCATCCCTGGGTGTCAAATTTTGGTTAGCTAAATTGCTCACTGCCTCTATTGCCAATATTAGATGTCTGCTGAGTATGATGGGAGTTTTGACATTCACACACAAGTAGGCACCCGTAATTAGAGGTTTTAATCTGAAGCTGAATGTTGTTCAGACTGAGGGCAGCTCTGGTGCTCTTCCTGTGGTCACTGGCTTCAGTCCATGCAGATCCCTCCTTAGGGATAATAGGTTTTGTCTAAAGGCTAGACTGAGTGCCAGGCTCATCACATGTGAGTAATTGCACCCAAGTGGCTAAACCTTGTGGTCCTGAGAGCTCTGAGGCTCAGTCTGGAGTTCCACTATGAGTTGTAAACATGCCTGATGTAAAGCAATGCCAGTCCAAAGGTTTTCTAGATCTGCTATTTAGGATCAATAGGCCTAAACTGTGCTGCAGTCACAGCTTGGTCTGAATCTTGTCCTAAATGCCTTATTTATCACTTTGACATTACATAAATACTTATGTGTGCTTTGATTTAACTGGGAATATATGTACAATAGGCAACAAACCAATGTTAAGACCATCATCTATGATCAAGAGAAATCCTTTTCTGTCATTAACTAAGAAGGGAGATTTTTAAAAGCCTGTAAGGTGAAGTTTCTTAATCACTGTCCTATGTTAAGAATGTTTAACAAGGTCTTGAATGAGATCCACCTCTGAATGTCTGTAACAGCCACGGAGTCCTTTTCCGCACACGATACTAATGTGAGGTAATAGAATTGAAAGTTTGTAACAAAAGTTTTCACTTTGGTCAAGGAGAGATCACTGGAGTAGATAAACTGGGCAATGAACCATTACTGACACTAACTTCCTCAGAACAATAAAAACAGAAGAGCCTGGGTCTTTCACTGTGGGCAGTTTTATTTGATATAATACCTACTACACAGTGACTGATGAGATGAATAGAAAAAGCAGTTATCACAGAGCCAGCTAGGAAGAGAGTTAGCAGTAAGCAAGTTAAAAACACAGTGGCCATCATTTTAAGCCAGAAATCTCACATTTCTCACGTCCTACTATCTTTTTCCTTTCTTTTCTGCCTGCAGTAGCACAACTGATCCTGCTCTGCTAAAATGTTTTGTTCAACGCATATCCCAGCCCTATTTGTTCCACCAGCATTCTTCTGCTGTCTCTAGGAGCCCCACTGAAGCAGAGTGTTGTTTAAAAAAATGTAACAAAAAGTAGGATTATTTGGAGCATGCTAAAAGGAGGAAGATGAATCTTCGGTTTGCTGCCCTGCCCCTATTGCCATTACTGACAACTCACACTGTCCCCAGGTACCCAAGGGACAGCTGAGCTCAGGCAAAGCCCCATCACCACAATCTTGTTCTTTGACTTCCAAGTGGCAGAGCTTGCAATAGAAACATGGATAACGGATGGTCTATCTACTCCATGGTTTCCTCCATGCTATGCTCCTACATTCAGGGCAATTTTGTCTGGGCTTTGTCTTGCCTGTATTAGGTGAGGAATGCAGACAGAACTGAGTAAATGGGTGTGATGCGGTTAGCGGATGAAAACGCATGTCCTATTTTACTTACCCGCAGTGATCTTGTTGCCTCTGGAGAGCACAGACACCTTCCCCGGGAGGCGGGGACCCCAAAAGCCCCAGGAATGGATACTGCTGTGCTACTTTCTGCTCCCTCACACATCCTGTGTTTGAAAGGACTCCTCCCATTCTTCCTGGGGCATTCAGAGGACAGATACCTCCCAGGCAGGTTTGATATTTACTTCCATGATGTGGCTGTGAGAAAGGTATAGCAGAGTACTACAGTAGAGAGCTAGACAACATGTTCTTTATTTCTAGAACAATGCAGCCTTTTTCTGAGCTGAACAAACACTTTTCCCAGCAATACTATCCTTGGCAGTACTGCAGAGTTGCCAGGTTCCATGGCCTAAGTAGGTTAAGTTTCTCACCTGATTAATCACCCCAGTGGCTCTTGCTCAACCCAGATGTCTCAGCAGAATAAAACATCATCACTTGCTGCAGTCAGTGATGTTCTTTGCTGCTGCAAACTTTTTGAGAGTTTTGATAAAATCCTTTTCTTTTGCTTTCCCAGTCACTGCTAAACCACTCATTTGAATCTATTTGTTATCCAGATCAGTTTCACTGCTGCAGATCTCAGCTGTTCCCAGCATCCAAACCAAGCTGTCATGCTGCAGGACTGTCTCTCTAGTTTTTGTTTCTTGTCCCCTTCCCACCAGCCTACAAGGTAGTCTAGAATTACCTTGCCCATTACCCTCTCTTGGTTTTGGACTGACACTTGCTGTCTCAAGTGATACTTAAGTTGCTACAGACAAATCAGTTTTGTCCATCTGCATTTCATGCTTTCCACTTTCAGTGAGTGGAGGCAGTCTGTTGGATACTTTTTCAGACATGGCTCAGCCTGGTGGGAGCTATACCTGTCCCACGGCAGTGACACTGGGGCAGTGGGCTTTTCTGGAGCTGCATGAAGGGGATCCAGCTTTGCTTTTAAAGTGTAATTTAAAGAAGAAATATTGTTTAAGATTTATAAAATAGTGAGGGAAGGTATAACCATTAGAATATAGAAACAGCCCATTGAAAAAAGGGGCTTGAGCAGAGGAGCACATTTTCAGTAATCTGCAGGGAGAGGCTGAGAAAAGCTTTCTATGTTTTTATTCTCTCATGTTTTAGCAAATTGACCCTGGAGAGGCAGCATATACTATATGGGTAACCCTAAACCTGGCTTTCAAACTGAAAGTCATTTGCATTCAAAAAGTTGAGCCCCAGATTTGCACACAATAGAATCATAGAATCACAGAATGACTTGGGTTGTAAGAGACCTTAAAGCTCATCCAGTTCATCCCCCTGTCATCCCTCTGTCACGGGCAGGAACACCTTCCACTAGAACATGTTGCACAAAGCACCATTCAACCTGTCCCTGAACACTGTTAGGGATGGAACAGCCACAGCTTCTTTGGCAACCTGTCTCACCACCCTCACAATAAAATGTTTCTTCCTAATATCCAATCTAACTCTACTTTCTTTCAGTTTAAAGCCATTCGCCCTTGTCCTGTCACTATGTACCCTTGTAAAAAGTCCCTCTCCAGCTTTCTTGCAGGCCCCTTTAGGTACTGGAAGGTTGTTGTCTCCCCAGAGCCTTTTCCTTTCTAAGCTGAACAACCCTAACTCTGTATGAAAACAAGCCTGTCTCCATAGGAGAGGTGCTCCAGCTCTCTGATCATCTTCATGGCCCTCCTGTGGACTCGCTCCAACAAGTCCATGTCCTTATTATGCTGGGGGCCCAAAAGCTGAACACAGTATTCCAGGTGCTTCAGAGTTATAAAGTATGAGGGACACCAGGTACAAACCTTCTACCAAGGTAGAAGAAAGCTTTAAGGCCTTCTGCTCCCTTGGCCACCTTCGATCTTGAGGTGAAGGCTAATTCATTCTCCCTCCTCTCAGCGATGGAGGCCACAGAGGCAGCTCTGGCAAAAGTGTGTCCCAGGGAGGGCTGCAGAGAGAAGCTGCTTTTGTATTTCCTGGCTAGGGCTAACTGGCAGAGGTCAAAGCAGTACCATTAAAAACCATTAATCACCCTGTCATGAGATGGACAGTGATATCCACTCTTTTTGGTGATTACTGTTGCATCTCCTTCTTTATATCAAATCAAAAGCAGCCAAAACATGTCAGCCAGTAATTTATTGAGAGCTACAAGCTAATTCAACATATTAATACAGCACACTGGTTGACATGATGAGGATGAGGCCATGGTAAACAAATGAAGTCTCCTGACAGATGAATGAATGAGACTGGTCTCACTGGACATCTATCAGCAGCTTTCTTCCTGAACCTCGCTTGCCCTCAACACAGGGCTGCTTCCTCCTCCCAAGGGGTTTCCTTCCAGGGCAGCCTGTTTGCTGATGGAGCAAATCCTCCATTTCCAGCCTGCTGCTCTGGTGTATCTCACTGATGTTGGTGGGGTGGGTGGTGGTACTTCTGTCAGCATGGGAGGGCTGTCGGGAGCCTTCCCAAGCTCTTAGGAAACACAGAAATTGCAGGCGCCTGTGTGCTACTTCAGCATCTTCTCTTTCTCCTGTGGGATGGGGAAAATGGGCTGGTTATGACGTACAGCCGAGGGATGAAAAGAACAAGTGTGGGATCCCCCATTCGTTTTGTGGCATATGACATTTATTTCATTACTCCCCTCTTTGGCTGAAGAAGTCCCTTGTGAAAACAAACATTAAGGCTTTGAGAACGCCTACCCCCAGCTGCATTGAGGTTCTTGGTGGCGCCCTCTTAACACGCTGTGCTGGATCTAGGAAGAAATGTCTGCTGTGGGAAGTCTTATCTGAGGCATAGCATTTCTTAGCGTGCCTATAAAGAGGAACTTGTGCGAACCGGATGTGTCGGGCTCTCTCCCCACCATCCTGCGACTTGGTGAAGAGGCTCTGTGAAAGTGATCCTTATCTGCAGCCTGGCAACTCTATGTAGGTCTTTGTACAGCCCCACAACCTGCTGGCTTGTAGATATTGTAGGAGTCCTTTTCTCTAAGTCAGATATTTGCCAGTCCTGAAAAAGTGTTTTCCCTAATGCTACTTTGAATCAATTTTATTGCATGACCACATTAAGGGGAAAATTATATGTTTTCTTATAAAAGTAGATTTTCAAGCATGGGGCAATACTTCAGACAGACCATCCATTATCAGTACTCTTTCTTTCTGGTTCACATTTTACCTTAAAACTGTCAAGAAAATATGAGGGAGGAGGTCAGTGGTGAACAGATAATATCAAAGTTGGCTAGCTTATCTACCTTGAAATGTGTTTTGTAGCTATACTAAATATTACACGATAAATTGTTTTTTAGTAACCAAAACAGGCTCCTCCCCATCAAATTTCTCTGGCAGAAGGATAGAAATAGTGGCAAGCTGCTCTGCCAAAATGCTAATTACTCCCTAAGGAATCATACAGTTATGCACAAACATGTGGCTGTTTATGTCTTCTGCATAATGCATATAACTTAACTAATGCACTTTTTTTCCTTTTGCACAGGAGATCTGTATATCTGAGTTAATGTTATGTCAACTGCACTTCCAGAAGTTGCAGAAGAAAGAAACAAATGTTTGTTGCAGGGACGCACAGAAGTCAGCCATGGATTTCAAATCACAGAAAATTTTCAAGCCTTCTTTGTATAGCAGCCACATACATCTTTCTGTCTTTCAGCAGCTTTCAGGTTCCCAGGGGACTGCAATATAAGTCCAACATGGGCTCACTATGAGCTCAGAAAACAGGCAGAACGGATGATAAAGTGAAGAGATGCTCCTCTTTCACTCCTTGCTAGAGGTAATTTGAGGGAATGGGAGTTTCTGTGTGGGAGAATATGTGATGCAAGAACAATCTAAAAATATTTCCTTTTGCTTCCATAGCAACTCCCATGACAGCAGCTCTCCGAATTCATTAATTCATTCTTTCAGCCTTCTTTGTGGGCTTTGTCCAGTTTGCAGAGGTGCAAAGTGATGTTTACAGCGTGAGTTTACAGATGTGTGTTGGCAGTCTGTTCTGGCAGCAGAGTACATCCTCTCCTCAGCTGGCAGCAGCACTTGCTAGGGGAAAGGGTAATGGCCCTGACCCCACACGTGGAGCCAAAGGACAGCAATTGCCCCCTCCAAGCTGCTCTCTCCTTGGAGCTCTGGCTCATGCTCCAGCTGAATCAAAACCATCAGAAGGCAGGCCCTGGAAGCCCTCATTTCATGGTAGGGTGCTGTAAAAGCAGTCTTGCTCACATTTTATCTATCTCTTCTGTGACATAACGGTGCAATTCTGAAATGTCTACTTGCAACACTCATTTCAGTACCTTTGTTAAGCTCTGTAAGGAAAGGAGACACAAAAGAGGTGAAGGCTGTCTTAATTTACTTTTTTTTTGGACCTGAAGGAAACTTGTTTGAGCTATTTACATGGCTCTGTTGAGCACTTCCAGGTCACCTGGATTTAAGGGAGAGAGGGAAACAAGATGCATTTTGCTGTAGGAGGTCAGCCTCCTGCCTTGCGGCTTTAAAGACTGTTCTTCACACCCAACGGCACCACTTTTGGATGGGATTTGAAAACAAGGCTACTGAGCAGCATGGCCAAGTGGGTAGGGCAGGGATCCAGGAGTCTTTGCTCTTTGTCATGTCATTAGCTCCTCACAGCCCTGTCTCTCTGCCTCATATCTGATGGCAGCAAGGATACAGTGCATCTCCTTTATAAGTTATAAACAGAGGCTTGAAGGAAGTGATATAGCAGGAAAGGTTTTATTGCTTTCCATTACTTTTTCTTTTTGGGGGGGGTTCAGAAAAAAGTACAGTATTTTAGAGAATGTGTGGGTATTCCTGGAAATTCAGCAAGAGTTAATACTGATCTCATCCCTATAAGGACCACTGTAAACCACTGTAAACCACTTCTGTGTTTACAGATGAAGAGTTTTAAGCAATGTTGGGTGAGCGATTGGTCACATTAGCACATATCATGCTTCTCTGGGATATGAAGGGTGAACACATTCGCAGCACACCCACCCTTCCACAGGTCATGGTGGACAAGTGCCTTAGGCTTGATATAGATTTGTGTGAGGAGCAGTTGCCCTGCAGGATGGTAAGTATGAGGTGAAAACCAGTCTGCTGGCAGTGGTGACAGTGGGAACGCACTGCCAGTGAAAGGTCCACACAAGTCCCTGTTACAGCTCTGAACTTGTCTTTCAGAGTCTTGTCCAGAATCTTCCAGTTCCCCAATTCAGCAACTTCTTTTAGACCCCAAACTTTTATATCCTTGTTTGTCACAGGAACAGAGATTCAGCTGATGTGGCCAGAAGGCTGCTGGATAGTCCTTTCTGTTCCCGTTTGTTAGTCTTTTGTCACCCTTAGACTAGATTAAAAAGTTCATGTTGATCCTGCTATACTCTTGACTTCAGCCTTCAGCCAAGAAATTCATTAAATTCAAAAGCCAGCATAGATATATGTCAACACCATTTGAAACTGTAGTGTCATAAAATAAAATAACAGCAAACCACTACAAGAGATACCACTTTAACTAATTCAAAACAGCTGCTCTGCCATCTAGTGTCATTTAATAATGTATGCTAAAACCCAGATTCCACCCCAGCTGCTGAAACACCTCTACCATGTACTTTTCTTTCTAGTAGGTCTTTAAGGTTTGGCACATGCCTCTATCACTGCATGACAGAGAGAGGAATATAACCCAGGAGCAGTCTCCATTCAGAGACTTTCCCATAGCAATAAGGTGAATATAAGTTGTTCCTTACATAAAAGGATTGTTCCTTACCTGCAAATGTGAGCTGCAAAGGTAGGCATGTCTGAGAAATTGCTGACCTTCTCCCAGTCATTCAGTAGCTCTATGGAGGTCACATAACAAATTCTTTATTTTAGTCAGGAATGCAACAAGCCTGTCAGAAAATTCCATCTTATCAAGTCTACCAGATGTTAGTATTTTCTGGTTCATAGTATAAGGTCAGCTGCAGAAGAGAAAGGTTGCCTAAATTAGGCCATAGAGGTCCTAACGCCAGTGATCTTCACTGGGTGAAGGGAACAGATTGGAATTTGGTTTTTTGTTTGTTTTTAATTCTCCCATTTTATGTTTGATATCCCCCCCAGAAGAACTTACATTCATCAGGCTCAGAGAACTGTTTGGTTTTTAATCAGCGTAATAAGAAATAGTAAGTGATAAATATCTTTGTCTATTTTAATGCCATATGCAAGTACTTAGAAATAATTTAGAAATCTTTTTCTTTTTTTTTCAGGGTCAAACACCGTTCTTGCCAGGGGAATCAAATATGTGGAAATGAAGAGTTACTCATGTATTCTGCCTGTTTCTTAACAAACCAAATCTCCTTACTTAGAAGTTATCCTGATAAATCTTTAGAAATTGACCTAATTTGCCAGAATAACTCCAAATTTGGATCAGTGCTCACAACTTCAATTGATAACATATGTTTGGCTTCTGTTAAAGGGTTTAAATCTTAAGTATGACTTTACACATCTTCTTCTGAAATGTCACAGCTCTTTGTACTCATAACTAGAAGCCATGCCAAAGCAAACCAATGCTGTCAATAGCAGAGCTAAAAGAAAACACACAAAGTACAAGACACTGCATTCCAGAAACAGTACAAATGTGGTTTGGAAAAGCTCAAATTTGAGGCTACTAAAACCATGATATAAATACTGCAGTGCAATAATGGTCTGCTTAATCTAGGAGCTGAAGAGAAGCACTGCTTTAACTCTTCTTTTTTCTCAAGCAAGTCAATGAGATTGCCACATTATGGGGACATAAATGCAATGAGCCAGATCCCAGCTACTGTTCCTGAAAGGTTTCCTTGAGTTTTGAATTCCTAACCCAAATAGATGTTCATGCTAAAATGAGAAAAAAAAGGAGAAGTCTTTTAAGACTAATGACACTGATTTTATCTTACTACGACATCTCTAAAAGAAACTTTCTTACAACCTGCCTTGCTGGCAGGACCTCTTAAATCTACATTTGTTCCCAAAGTCTCCTAGTCTGAAGTTCTGTAGAGGACTTCAGAGCCTTGTGAGGTGGCTCTAATGAACATGGAGAACCTTATTGCATGTAAGTGACTAAAGAGATCCCAGTTTTCACTTTCCCACCAAAGCTGACCAGAAGAGGACTGGGTTTTCAGGTGTTAAATGGCAGCCAGAGATAAGCAGGCTTGGTGCATGGACGTTGTTTATTCTGATGTGCTCTAGATCTCAAAATGAATAAATGATCTTCCTTTCACCAAAATTGAGTCACGTTTTGTTTTCATCACAATAGTCCCAGCTGTTACAAATAGCTGGCACTAATAATCTGTGGTTTAGACTGATTAGCATCCCATATCCCTTCATTTCTAAAATGGAATTTTAATCAGATTGTAATTCCTTGAAAACCTCCATGTCAGTGCGTACTTCCCTAACCATTAATCAATTGAATTTTGCCCTCTATTAAGCTGCTTAAATCCACTTCACATTACTGATTGATAACTTCCATTGCCTCCAGCACATTGCTGACATACTGTTGGGTTTTTTTTAACATCAGGGCCATGACACTATTATAAAACTGAGAAAAAGAGCAGACGTTTGCATTGATGCTGTTGTGGCTTTTCAGCTTTCCCATTTTAAATCCCTGTTTTCTTCAGGGATTTGAAAGTGGGTCATAAATTCATTTCAAAGTGAAATCACTTTCATTGGTCTAATCATGAAAGTACTCAATGTCTCTTCTGGGAGACCAGCTCTTAGTGTGCAAGTAGCTTATCTTCTTCTGCTCAACCCCCCTGCATTCATATTTTCTGGCCTCTGTGCTCATTTTTTGCCCTTTCATTTGGCTGGTTGCTTTTGGTACTGTTGTTCTGAAGCACAAATTTACTTTTAATAAGGAAGTTGGTAAACTCTATCTCTCCAGGGTAGAAGGATAATAACGGCTGGTTTGGCTGAGAAGGTAAATTAAATTATTTGACTTAAGATCAAATGCTTCCTATGTTAATACATTATAAACTGGTTTACTGGAAATGTGAAGAAGCTACATTAGTAACTCTGTTCATAAACAACTTTAATGATTTGTCAGGACAACAACATGTGACCTGAAGGAGCAATTCTGCAGTCCTTACCAAAGGAAAGGGGATTTAAGTCTCTTGGACTGGGTCATATATCCGCTGGCAATAAATAAAGAAACACAAAACATGCTTCTCCGAGCAGAGGGTTTCTGGCTTAACTAAAATCTCATGATGGAGGGCCTGATCCAGGCATGTCCTTTCTTAGATGCCACTTCTTAGATATTTGCTTTCCCTGAAGCAAAGTGGGTCCTTTCCATGTTAATTTACAGCAGTACATGTGCTACGTTTAAGTTGTAACCTGGTAACACGTTCCACCTACTATACACCCGTGCATTTAAATAATTATCCAAAAGACAGAACCGTGGACGGCAATGCCTACAGTCTGGAATTTGGCCACCAGAAAAAATAAATCATCAGAGCCTCAAGGTAGCACATAAGCCACCTTGAAAGTGTAAGCAGAGTTCTCCTCAGGTCTTGCTACTGATGAAAAAAAGGAAAAACCCCACAAACCCAAGCATTTCCATTATGATTACTTCTGTTAAACCTAATTAACTCTCAGTATGTGCCAGACATAGCAGACCTGATTAAAGTCTCCTGTTCTGGTGTTAAAAGATAATCCAAGGCCTTTAAGCTTTTATTCAGATGCCTATGATTTTTCTAGAGCACCTGCTGTAAAGCATATGTTAATTAAAATTTTTGAATTAAAATGGTGTGTATCGCCCTTTTATGGGAGGATAGAAGGAAGGAAGGACATTTTAGTACTAGCCTATTGCCAATGGCAGCTCTCAAAGGAATGGAGTTCTGCTGCTGTCTGCAAGAATTTAGGATCTTTCTTTCTTAATTACCTCTCTTGCAGATTAACTTCACCTTTGTTTCACTACTACTTTATTGGAATTATGTTCCTTATCTTACTATGTGTTTTCAGGCTGCTGGAAGACTGCTTGTGGCTAAAGGTATATTTTGGTTCCAGCTGAGAGCAGTTTTTGTTGCTGCAGTGGAGTCCTTCCAAGTTCAAAGCAAAATTTTTCAAAGTCACTCATTCTTTCCTGAGACATTCCCCATTGCACTAAGAACAACTGTGATGACCTTGGTGGTATCATAGACTGTGGCTGTGATGAAAGAACTAGCAGTACAAGGTGTTGAGCAGTAGGAAATGACTGTATCCTGAGTTAATCAAAGTCTGCAATACAATACATAAGCCAGATTTGAATATAGTTCATTATCTCAAAGGTTTTAACTTTGGGAAGGGGAACAGAGCCTTGCTTGCTTTTGATTTGAAATAGTTCTATGATTTATGGTAGGTTTTTAGCTTAGTTACTCAAAAAATACATGTAGTACTTATTGGTACTTTGTTATTTGCTAGAACTCGTGAAGTGTCCCAGTGTTTGTCTATAATGATTTACCTAATGCAGTCCTTTAATACCTGGCACGTGTCCTCATTTGTTTCAGGGAAACTCCTTTCCACTTCTGTTGACATTGCAGCTTCCTGTGAACCACTGAGTGAGGAGGTGGAGAATCAGGGGTCCCATTTATAGCTTTCTAAGTCAATAGAAATAATCCCAAGGGAATTTTGAATGAGATCTTCAATTACCTAACACTAACCTTGGAAAATAATCGCCTGTCAAAGCTAGCTGGTCAGCAGGGCAGCTAGTCTCCTGATGGTTTGTTATGCTTTTAAAAGAAGCAACAAAACAACTGGGTGTGTTTGTTAACGTCAATAATATTTTCTTAAGACATTAACTTGAGTTCTGACTTAGAAGTTTGCTATACCAAATCAGATAGCAAATTTTTCGTAACAGAAAATGCCTACATGTGTGTGAGTTTCTTCAGAAATGAAACATTTTTCTTTAGGCACTGTTCATATTTCAGGTTGACACTGTGTTGGAAAAATACAGAACTTCTTTTTCTTGTCTTTTGGGATACGCTGTCTGAAATTTATTCCAATGGCTGCAAGAAGTGTTAGTGCAAACTGGAAAATTTTATAAAGGGAAATCATACTCTATTAAATCTTTACGGTAACCGAATAATACTGAGCTGAGAGAATACTTTAGAAGAGTTATCTTTCATCCTGTTCTCATAACAGTCAACCAGTAATGTGTAAGTATTTTCACATGTGAGAAGATGGTAGAGTTGGTAGAATGATAACAAAGCAAGGTTACGGTATTTTCACTGTTGCCACCATACAGGGTTCATAAAATAACAACCAAATGAAAAAGTACATTTTCCTGGGGTTTCCTACTTGCTTCATAGATTTTGACACTTTGTCATTTACATCGCCAGGTTTGTTTTCTGCAACTGTGAAAGGCCAACATTATAAAAAGAGAAATCTTTGATTAACAATTTTTTATAGCTATTAATTAAAGCAGATTTTAATTTCCATTCAGGCTTTGTGTTGTAAGATCATTGTTGCAGCTGAATCCCTTCTTCAGAGGCTCAAAAAAACTCCAGAAAGATTTATGGGATAACCTTTTCTTTTAATCACTACTTTTTGCTTATGTGTTTACCTTTCTTTCTATCCATTGCTCGTTCTGTGCATATTTGCCTTCATTACTGTTGCTTCCTTTTATGTGTTTGCCGTTCTCTGTCCTTCCTATTTTCTCAGTGTTTGCCTTTCTCATGCATGCTTTTAATGTAACTTCGTTTTTCTTAAAGATTTCTGTGTGCTCATATTCTCTGAAGGTGCAGGGTTATGTTTAGCAATCAGTAACTCAGTGACTGAGTCACTGATCACACTGAATTAATGCTGCATCTCTGGTATCCTCCCATCACCTTTCTCAGCCTGCTTCTTTCTGAAACTCCAAGGATTTGTGATTCTACTGTGTCAGGGTAGGAAAATAGCAACAGCTTGCTCTGAGATAGATAGTTTCATCCCCTGCTGTGGTCTAGTTTGCTCCTTCTTGGCTGCGCATAGTTCATTGCCCTGCCAGAAGCTGTAATATCCTCCCCGCTTTGTCTGCAAATGAGCCCATAACTTTTTGGTGAGGCCCTGTCCTTTTATTCCAGTATAGCAAGCCAAAGGCGATGTACTGATCATGACTCTACTTCAGGATGTTCATATTGTGCTAGCGCCACAGGACTGGCACAGACTGTTCCTTTAATACATGGTATGTGACCACATACTTTTGCTGTGATCCAACACCTCAACCTTGTTACCGCAATTTTCCTTATCATTTTGTGTGTCTCAGTGCTTCATGAATGTATTATTGACAAAGCTAAGATTTTAACCCATGCATTGATTTATTTTGTACGAGTTCTTCTTAGGATAAAACTTGGACATTCAGCTGATATTAGTAGGAAAGATGTAATGTTGCAGTATGACGTCTGTGAGGCTGTGGTGTATGGTAAAATGAACAGTCTTGTCCAATTCCCATTGATAACATCATTCACCAGTACTGCCTTTATCACCTGCAGGAAGTGAATGGACATGTAACTGGGTTGTTACCTTGAATCAGAAGATTAAAATAGCTATGCTATAAGTGCACATCTTCACAACTTGAAAAAATAAGTAGTGCGATCTCCCCTTGAAAAAAATATTTTTTCTTTTTTCCCCATTTCTAAAGTGAAACTTCAAGTCTAAAAAGGAATAACACAAAATATTTATTACTCTGGAAATCCTTTCATAAAAGGAAGATTCCATTTAAAGGCTTTTCATACAAGAACCAGAATTACTTTAGGAAGGTAACAGTTACATGGTGATGGAATAAGAACTGAAGGTCATTGATTGAATGACCTCAAGCCAGTTAGCATTCCTATTCACTGGAGGACAAGAACAGTAGCATTAAAGGTAACAAGTTTATAACTGGTATAGTGGGACAGCAGAAAAAAATTAACCTGTGAAACTTCATTCCACTGGAGACTTTAAACGAATAAGTTAAAACGCCCAGTATAAACTTAGGTACCCTAGCATAAAAAAAATGTTTTTTGGGGAACATAGTCAATACAAATTTAGAGATAAATTAAAAACATCCTTTTTGTGTCAGAATTATTAGACACATACCTGAATGCTTGGTGTTGTATGCCTGTTAGGTTTGCACTCTCCTCTGAGACCTTTAGCACTGATTACTGTTGGATAGGCTATCAGACTTGATGTACTACATCTGAAGTAAATGGATACTTGCTGTGCTGGTGGAACATTGTGGAAAAACTCTGGGCTTACCAAGGCTAGAGCAAATGCTGCTGCAACATTGATGGGGCTGGACTAGTCAAAACGCAGAGTGAGATGGTCAATGGGGTCTTTGTGCTAGAGAACACGTGCAGCACCAAATTGTGCTAGAGGGCAGGAGAAGGGTGGGATGTAACATGCCTTCAGGTCCTCACTTCATCTGTAGGTCTTCATCTGTTGCTGAATATGGAGTTCAGGGGGAACTGTCAGCCTGACTTCTTTCAAAAGGGCTAATTTCATCCCACATCATTAACTTTATTTTTTAAAATCCTGTTCTTTGCACTGACATGATCACTCATTACTTGGTGGAACATAAAAAGGTCTTTTTGAAAGTGGCTCATACAAAAATATTCTCTAATAAAGAAGAATGTGTCTAGACTTAGTACAGTAGATAATTCTTGCGAGGATGAAAGCAATTTCTATGTTAAAGGAAAAAAGTTGAGGAGTTTTTTTAATAGATCTGTCTTTAAAAAATATTGATGTTTCCTTCAGTAATGTTTTATGATTCCTGAACTTTACACACATCTTGCAGCTCCAGACAAAAAAAAAACTATACCATTTACTTGTATTCCTATTAATTTGCAATCCTGAAAAGAGTCCTTATTGTTCATACCACACATTGTTCTAAAAACATTATGGTGGGAGACCAATACATATATATATACAAGTCAGGACAAGCTCCAGTCTGTAAGACCTGAGGTCTGTTTTGCTCCATCCCTGGCAGCGTTCAAGGCCAGGTTGGACACAGCCTTGGGGGACATGGTCTAGTGTGAGGTGTCCCTGCTCATGGCAGAGGGGTTGGAACTAGGACCTTAAGATCAAACAAATGGTCAGTGTTTGCAAGGAAAATACAGGTTTCTGCTGCTTGGCAAAATAAGTTCACAAGATCCCAGAAAACTGATGTTTATCCAACACCTCACCCATGGTTTCCCTGTACAACACAAGAAATGGATGCACAGGAAAGGATTCTTCGGACAAAACTTCGGATTTACTGTCTTAAGTAATGATCCAGTGAGCATGAAATTTTCTTCAAGAAGCTGAGAAGTAACAGCTGAAAACTACTAAGGGTCTTCCTAGGTTGGATAGTCAAGTAAAAGAGTGAGAAATGGAGTGTCTGGCACAGCAGAGAAGAAAGAAGACCAGGAGTATGAGTGCAAGGCAGGAAACAGAAATACCAGTCCCCCCAAAAAAAGTCCTGCAGAGGAGGTGAGGAGGTAGATAACCAAGTTTTTCTATAGAGAAAGATGGCTGGTGAAGAACTTTGCTTAGCACAACCAAAATCTTAAGGCATATTTAAATGCCAAATCTGTCTGCTTCAGATACTGATAGATTCCATTTTATACTTAGAATGTATAAGTAATAAAAAAAGTAAGCAGTTTCTGGGTATGAAGCAATTTTATTTGTATTTACAAGTACACAGGCGCACATCCCCTTCTGTACACACAAACCCACACTTACATATATTTATATTACTGTGCTCTCCAGGATGTAATTCTGGGATTGTGTGGCTGACTACCATTGCCCTGACCTGCCAGCTCTGGACAGAGAACATTTAAAGCAGGCCTAGGGTTTGGAGACTTTCCATCTGCAGACTGGTGTAAATGGCTGGCTCTGCATGGGAGAGCTGGGACGAAGAGATAGGCAGTTGTAGGGTTGGGGTACTGATGTCTAAAAGCATTCACCTTGTCAAATGCAGTATTTTAAGACTCTTCCTCCAACTGCCTCATTACGTCCAAAATATCACCAAAGAAAGTTTCCTTTTAACAAGGCAGGCAGTTGCAGCAAGTCTCTGCTCACAAAAGGGGCTCGGTGATTCAGACAAGCTCTGATGATCAATGAGCAAAGCAGCGTCTAGCATGTCATGGATGGAACAAAAAGGTTAGGGACATCTGAATGAGGGAGTTCAGCCGTCACCATCAGCTTTGCCTCCGGGTCTCATTCTGAAAATTGCAGGGAAGCTGTTCTCTTCCTCCCTCGAGATTTGCATAGGACATTTACCGCATCAAGGATTCCTTCTGACATTTCTAATGGAAACAGCTAGAAGAAAGAGGGAAATCAGATAGCAGAGTGTCTCTGCACGCTGTGCTGTTGCCAAGCAGATTATGTGCTGTAATCTGTAAGCACTGAACTGTGTTTGAATTATGATGAACTTCTCCCTCGCTTTTGTTTTAGCCCCCTGGGAGAGGCGATGTTTCCGGACTGCTAATGTCACAGTGTGACCTGTTAATAACCTGCAAGAGCCTTCCTCCACTCCACCGCCTCCCGTTCCCCCAGGACCCAGCAGCTGCCGTCACATGGATCAAGTGCCTGCCTTGTATGTGGTTCATTGAGAAAAATTCAAGCATGTGGCCTGAGGTTCCCCTGATGGCTGTCTGGGGATGATGATTTCTACCATCTGTTCTGGCTGCCTGCAGCTCCCGGAAACACCGAGGTGTATGTTGCTTCTGGCCATACTTGGGATTCCTAATGAAACCTCAGCTGCTGTCCAACTGTCTGTGAATATCAGATGGGTTTGAATTATCTTTCCGCCAAAAGGAGAGGGGGAAGCACTTTGTTTAACTCTTTAATCTGAACCACTACACAGCACGTGCATAATCACAGGGTACAAAGCCGCAGAATTATTAGCATCTGCATCGTGGTGGCAGCTGTAACATTTGCACGTGTGCCAGGTCTGTCCGATTCGAGATGCCCAGGCTGGTTGTTTCCAGGCTAAATATACAGCCTCGAGTCAAATTCGTCTTAGTGCAGCTCACTTGGAAGCCCTGTAATTATACCAGAGATTTATTTGATCCCTTCACTTCTGATTTCTGTTAAAGGCACATTTCAGCTGTATAAATTGCATATCAGTATATGACAAAAAGCTGCTTATCAAATGGTTTAAATGCAGCTGAGGAATTGAAGCAATTTCAGAGCTATTTATTGAGAGGGAGGAAGTCACAGCAAATTTATATTAATTTTGGTATATGAAAGAGACTTTTGTGCAAAAACCTCCATAACAAATAAACAGAAATGGCTTGTCTCTCAGGATTTGACATCCTGCCTGTTCTTTCTCCCGTAATCTATCATTTAGAAACCTTTTCTTTCTATTTGCTGAATATCAGTTTTCAGTGGATGTTGAGGGGCACTAAATCACCTAAAGGACCAGGTCTCAGTAGAAAGGATTTCACATTCTTTCTTGTTAGAATGACCTAGACTTCATCCATTGATATTCATACTGTTTTCCCCATTCATATTCATACAATTTTCTTTGAATGAATAGATGCTCTCAGTAAGAAGTCCTCTGAGTTTTATGTGGTCGGAAAAATTATTTATATAGTCAGTGCTGCATCAATGAAGTTATTACAGAATTGCTGAATGAATCAGGAACAATTCCTTATATTTCTCTGCAGCCATTGCTCAGTCAGGGCAATGCAGAATATAAGACTTAGAAGTGACCTCAAAGCAAAAAAAGAAAAGGAAAAGGAAGTAACCACGCAACAGCAGCCGGCAGTGATAGCCTTGAGTTGCTAAACAGTAAGGGGAGAGTATCAGTACATGGTACTGGACACCTCAGTAACATGACCTCAGCCACTTGTTTTTAGAGGCTGTTTTTCTACTAATATTGTGGATGCTAATCAAAGAATGCAAAAAAACTTCCTAGCAGTGGCTCACTGAGGGGTGTTCAGTTGTTTTTGCATTTGGAGCTTATTTTGTTATGCTATGAGACATAACAGCAGTCTGCAAATGCATTCAGCAGCTAGTACATAGGCATGGCGGTGGAGGCAGGGTTCCCACTGTTGCTGGCATTCCTTTCTCTTCTCAACTGACTCATGCAGGGATGCGCACATACCTCTTATATATGCACATTGTCAGAAATCAATATCAGGGTAGAAGGCTTGAAAGCAGATATTATCAGAAAATTCAATAGAGCTTAGAAAAAGACTTCTAATTTTCTACTTTATTGATTTTTTTTTTTTTAAGATACAGAGGTACAGGAACTATATATGGAAACATTTCATGCATTTATCTTCTTCAACCTGGAATGACCCAGTAACCATCTTTGCCTTTGTTTTTCTTTTAAAGTAGTAGTCACCCAAGACTACTGTTTTTTAGCAAACATGAGCTAGCTAAGCAGGGCATGCAAATATGGAAGAGGTGGTTCATCGATAATGTAAAGCTTCTCTGGGGACATTTCTCTTTTTGTGGTCTGGATATAGTAAAATTTAACTATTTGCTGGCCAAAAAAAAGAAATAAGATAAATAAATAAAACCTAAACTAGAAAACAAAAGAACCCAACCTTAATTTTTAAAATAGTTAGCTTTCAGCCTAGAGCTTTTTAAGGAAAATCTGTTTTTTCTTTCTTTTCTCTGTGTGGATCTCTGCATCACTTAAGAGAGATTTGACAGATGGAGACTAGCTTGCAACAATGTACTTGAAGCTCTGAAAGACTAAAATGAGTAATCAAAACCATTCCAAAAAAGACTTTTTCATGAATCTGTCTAAAAATATACGTCACAGAGAATTTCTTTCCCCTTCTTTCCACTCCTCTTTTTTGTTTGAAGCAGTGTGGGTATTTATACTTAGCTCTATCTCATTATGTGTTATTTCCCCTCTGTTAGCAACATCATGTCTTGGCTTGCAGTCACAAGTGACGTAAGATGTTGCAAAATGTCACTAATAAATATGTCAAGAGATAGTGAACTAGAAATAAAACATAGAAATCCCATCATCAAATTCTTCTGCCATAGTCCACTTCTGGTGAAATTCAGATTATGATGAAACATCTGAAAGAATTATTCAAAATGGAAGAGCATACCTGCAATCTCCAGGCCTCAAATGATGACTGCAGTCACGCTTGAAGGTACAGAACATGAATGCTTCTCTCCTTCTTGTTATTTGAAATACTTCCTTTAGGCTTACAGGGCTATTAGAGAGATTTGAGTACACACGTGTGGAAACATTTGGCCTGAAGGGGTTCTTTCTTGGTTGCTATTGAGGGTTGACTGTTGCACTGAATTCCCAGCACTCTGTGCCACAAACCCTAATGGAATTAGAGGGAATGCTGAGGAGGACATCACAGATGATAGAGGAAGAAATGGCTGCCAGAGCTAGCTGTTGCTAGCACAACAGAAGAAAGTCTGCATTTCCAAACACACACACATATATATTCCCTGACCCAGGTTATGAACATCCAGCCTGAGGTTCCACAAGGGTCTGGTTTATCCAGGTCCTGAGCACTAAACTTTTCGGTTACAATGCTGATAGTTAGCAGTTTTAAAACTGAAGTCTATGATTTCTCAGAACCAGCATCCATTTATGGATGCATACATAACTGGATGGCTAGGCTTTGGTATACCTGATATGGATTTGTGAATGATTGTAAGTGGAGTGTTAGCTACCTATAAATGAAGTTAATTCCACTGCTTATAGGCTGTTTTGAAAAAGCACTGGATGTGTCCAGGTTATCCATGTAATTCATACCACAGAGAGAATCCTAAACATTTGGAGCTCTCCTAGGCAGTCTTGTAAAATAGAGAAGAGGATTAAATTTTACCTGGAGAAGATGGACAAAGGTAACTACTCTAATAAAGAAAACAGATGATAGAGTACTTTCTTAAAGAAAATACGCAGGTGGCATCACTCAAGATGTTCATAAGACTAAGTAAACCAGTAGAAATACACAGGTAAGATTAAGTCTGTGCTGAAATAAGGTTCTAATGTGACTCTCCATCTGTAACAACTTGCAACATTCCTTTGCAATGGCAAACTCAAAGTGAGCAAAGAATAGTTAGCAACAAGTAAAGGGGTCATTTGCCAAATAAGTGTCCCATCTTAAATTTGAGCAACCTTCTGACTGCTGTAGCTTGTCCTGCCTGTCTGCTCTCTCAAGGAGTTGATACAGGAGCTGGCAGCCAGCAAGGTTTCTTATGACAGCAAGTGCATACACAAATAGTAGAAGTTAGAAGCTGCTGTGCTTCCTAGAAGGAGATGTTAGGTAACCACAATATTTTAGGTGAGTCATTCAGCACACAGATAAAGCCCAGACATTTGCAAGTGCAAAAACTGTGACCCCTTACAAAGATAAAATGGCTACACAAAATGGTGTTCTTTGAAGAGGCTGTAGTTACCATGCTAAAGAAGACTTCTTTTGCATAGGGTTTTGCTCTGGGCATGCCACTGAATTACAGTTACTGAAGATAAAACTATTTAGGTGTAATAACAACTCTGAACATAACTAAACTCCTTAACATTCTAGATTAATTTGGATAAAATTAACCAGGTGATTTGGATATATTTGGATAATAAACCAGGTGAAAAAAATAAAAAATTCTTTTACAGATACATTATTAAGCACTTGATTTTGATTGAGTTTTTGCGTAACACATTAAAAGGAATGTATAAGTAACTTCACCAGATTTTGCTTTCTGAATCAAGCAAACAGGTGTCAGAAGATCCAGTAGATAATGACACAAAACTGTCAATTTGTCATTCAGTTAAATCACACCTCAAATCCTTACAATAAACAGCTGTGTCCTGCTGAATATTTCAGCGAAGGACAGCCTAAATCTGTTTCTGGAGAACTGGTGTCATTGCTTGGTAGCCTTGAGCCCTGATAGGCAACTGATACAGAGCAATCTTCCATCACCTTAGTTAATTTCAAAGTTTAGGCCAAATTTTGATATATTTGTAAGACTTCAGTCCTCAAATACCTATGAGGTCAATGGGACTACTGTAGGAATAAGAGATTATTCATTGTGATAATAAGTGTGTGAGATTCTGGCCCTTTGCTAGTATGCTGTTTTCTTTTTTGCTTTCATATTTTTATTGCCCTTACGTTATGTACTCTAGGGGACAGAGATTCTTATCTGTTGCACTAAAAATAATACTGTCAATAACAAGAAGCATAATAAATGATGTGCTATCAGGAACAACTGTACGAATACCCTTAGTATGAAGATTTTTATGATAAAGACCTATTTTGCTAGCAACCAAGAACAGAGAGCATTGTTTTGCATCTTATGTACCTTTTGAGTTTCTAAGAACACACAAAGAAATATTTCACAAAGTTTCATAGCTGAGAAAAAAAAGAAATGATGTCCCCAAAGTCTGGATCACTTTCTCTTACCAGGTTGTCCTCAGAGACACTTGCCCATTAAGAGAAAGCACACAGTTTCAATTTCAGTGGATGCAGTTCTTGTTTATCCTAGGTACAGTTGATGTGGTTTCATTAGTTGCTTTGCTAATGAAAGCCTGGTGTTTTGCCTTTAAAAAAAATATTCTGAATTTGTTCAAGCAAACCAGATTTTACTTACTGCCTTTGTTTTGCTATTTTAAGATTAGGATTACAAGACAATGCTAATAGGTGGAATTAAAGAGATATGTTTGTCCCTACATAAACATAAAATGAAAGCACACAATTAAAAACCCAGTGAACTAGAGAGGAAGGTGTACAGTGAGTAACAGCAGGTGTACAGGTCTGCATGTCTCAAACAAGTCATAATGTGATCACAATCTCAGCCTTTCTGTGGACCATGAATAAGAACATGAAACAAAGGAAGAAAATGGGGCCATATCCTCCCTTAGTGTAGGATGTCATTGCTTTGCTGAAGTAAATGGCACTCTGCTTAATCACCTTAGGTAAGGATTTCACCCTCTCAGCTCTTTCCCCAGCTGGACCCTTGCCAGGCTGCCACATAGGTGTCACTCAAACCCACCTGCCTGATCTTCTGCTTTCCCTCACTTAGATAGAAAGCAATATTGCTCCTTCCTGTAATCTGGATCTGGGGGATATGCCTTCATAGGAGGGAAGCTCTGCTGCTCTGCACTCCCACAAACAGCGACATCTGCCCTGAGCATCAGGTGTACCTTTCCCTGAGCCACTACTAAGTGGTCTTGCTTCTCAAAGGCATGCATGTGTCTAGACACACACATATTTTACATGAGATTAAACAATACGCCAGCTTTTATTTTACTAACATAGAAAACATGCAGGAAGAAAAAAATAATGTGCTGAATTACAGATGCATTTTTAATTCTGTTTTCTGGCCACAGAATATTTTTTTGGCTTTTGGTCTCTGTCTGAGTGCCTTATGTTTCCACCAGATCAAGGAGCATCTCTCCCTCTCTGCTGCCTACTGGCCTGTTTGTCTATTTCTGACAGCCAAATTGAACACAATCTTCCAGCTGCTGTAAAAGTATGCTTCTCTCTCCACACCCAGCTGCCTACTCAGTAATTCTGTGACGTTTCTTGATCTGTACTACGTCTGTACTCTTAAATAATGCAATTACCTAGGATTTTCTACTTTCACATTCAGAAGTAAAGAAAGCCCTATTTTTCCCAGCTTTAGCTAACCGATTACTCAGTGCATTTTCACCTAAAAGATGTCTTTTTAGGTTTGACTACAGACTGCAGTTCTTTGTCTTTCAGAGATGTTACTCAGCTTTTGTCAATAAATGTGTTCATAGAAATGATATTGTATAAGTACTTCCATGTTAATGATTTGATAATTTATATATTTTTCATGAGCTTTACCTGGTCACATCACAAGTTGATTGTTTTGTTAAACCCTGAAGCTGTTTTTATTTTCAATGAATTTAAGGTAATTTTTAAAGGTAGGCATACATTATAATTCGTTGTAAGTTATAAGGCAAAGGACAGCCTGAAATCAGACCTGGAACCTGAATTCACTGACTGCTTTGGAGAACTAATTTCCTAAATACTTTAGATCTCAGGCTGCAGCAAAGTGAAGGAAAGAATTCTTACTATAATCTGTTCAAAGAGAGGGAATTAACGGACATCTTTTTTCTAATTTTATTATAATAAAATGGGAAAGACTAGATAACTGCCAAAGCCAAACATTTTAAAAAGGAATCCTGACCCAATAAAGACAGCACAATCTGCAGTGTTTAGAATGGTGTTAACATATCATTTCACTGGTTCATTGGGGTAACAAATGCAAAAAAGGCCCTTTTTCATATACACTGGTTTTCTGGATCAAGTGGCAAAATATAAAAGATAAGGACAGGTGGCTTCAACAGTTGATATAAAGCTTCGATGTCCATTATCTGTTGGGGTAGGGAAGGCATATCATGTGTCTGTGAGAACAGGCAGAGGAAAGGTAAGTGATAATCTGAAGTACAGAGTTAAACCCAGTGCAACTGGAATAATACTTGAGAGTAATGATCTACTGTGCTGCTGTGATACTTTGACAGCTGTAAAGTAAAATAAAGTCTGCACTGTGATAAAGTGGGATTTTAATATTGACTCCAGAAGGATTAAGTTTTAATTTTCTCAAGTGTCCTAAGAGCACTTTTCTGTTCTACAGAAGCTGAAGGAGGGGCAGAAAGTTTTATCTTGTTCTAAGTGTCCGTGTATTCTGTTGTTGGAGTGCACTGCAAAATGCCTGGAGGGATGTTTTCACATTTACCTGAGTTCTGCTTTTATATGCAAGCATACCATATCATTCCTCAGGTTCTGAGGAACGTGCTCTCATTTGCTGCAGTACAAAATTAAAAATAAAATAAGAGGAAAGTCTGCTGTTAGCTGGTTAGTCCCCCAGGCATATTTGCTTCTTGTATCCACAGTTAGTTCACCTCAGATGGAGAAGCAGAGACCAGACTTTCTTTATTCCACATAAAAGCTTCGCAGTTTGGCAACTGCACTTTGCAGAGTCATTTGCTGTGAATGAGTAAAAGCCCTCAAAGAGAAGGAATAGTTTTGCTAAACTGGATAAGTAATACCTGCTTTTATGATTTCTAGTCTTAGGGAAGTAATTTTTGTCTATCCAAATTTCCATGGTATTCTAGTAAATACACCGAGTACTGTTTGCCCCTATTCTCCCTAGATTTCCACATCTTTTCTTATTTAAAATAAGTGTTTCAGGAAAGTTTTGCATGCCTGTCTCTCCCTGCACAGG